GTTTAGGAGACTAATTAAAAACTTTTCTAGAGTATGATAAAACTTGATAAGACTATACTTTCGGACAAAACAACAAAGTCAAATTTTTATGTTTTTATTACAAACTTTCACACGTAAAGTTAGGTTATGTATCTATATTTAGGAATGTTTGTCTTGTAATTTTGTTTGTCGACCTTCTTTATGTTGTGCTTATGTTTCCATTCTGTAATTGGCGGGCTCCCCGCAGTTGGATAAGAATTGTCCATCAAAATAAAAATAAAACTATTTTTTTAAACCAAGTAAAGTAAGCTATAATTGGAAGAATGCCAAACATGAGCGGGCGATTGTTTTTTTGAAGACAGAAATTATTTAATTGAAGCTGTCATGATTTTAGCATTTACTGTACCGGTACTATATGCGATCCATAATTATCATATCGTGACTTCTTCACAATTCACACTCCGCGCATTCTATTACATCCTGGCTTAGCAGCAAGTAATTTGCAATGAACTCGCATGAAAAAGTCCATGATTTCAAACATTTAGTCCATTTGTGATCTTTAACAACAATGAATGAAAACAATATAAATATTACAACAAAAAAAAACTTGGTGTAAAGTTGACAATATATCGCTTTCCACCTTTCAAAATAATAGTGTAGCATCCCTTAGGCTAATTTTTTGAAGACTTTTTGACGTATATTGAGTATCACATAAACTTTTAATAGTGGGCGACATGATCTTCCATTTATTGAAATATCTGATAATGACGTCGATATTCTCCTAAATGATTACACAATTTAGGTTTACGTCAACATGTCACTGGTCCGACGACTCATATTTAAAGTCGTTCATACTCTTCTTAATTTGCCTTTCCGGAGTGAAAACCAAACTTAACAGCTGACAAGTCAAAAAGTGTTATTGCTAGGACCAGAAATACGCCCATGTCCCATAAACATGTAAGTTTGTGCACGTTTACACTGCCGTTTAGTGGGGCGTTTACAACGATGTCTGAAGGGTGGTGCTTAGCGGAAAGGTGTGTTCTTACACATCGTGACATGATTGTGGCATAGTGCTTACTCGACAAAGTCTTTTGCCATCAGATCACAATGTAGTTATTGCATAAATATTAGCTCACCTCGACACACTGTATTCTAACAGACAGAAGGAACTTTAAAGCCACAGACATCAACAAGATAGTAAATGACACTGTATATACTGTCATCCGGTTTAACCTCTAGCTGAAATCTTCTCTGTGAACTTTTAATCGAACGTTTCTGACGGGCCCCATTCAGTGGCGGCTCTAGGATATATTTTCTGGGGGCGGGGCTGAGCTATCCGACAAGGGGACTTGAGCTCGTAGGCCCGAGACTGGGGGAATGGTTTGAGAAGGTGTTCCCCCTCCCAAATGAAATTTTTTAAAGCATATGAACCTCTGGATGGCCAGAAACGACACAGACTGTGGCAGACATGTGTTGGCTTGGCGTGGGCCTATTTTTATATATTTTTTAGTCCGACTGCCAGACAAGCTCTGTCCGAAGGAGGGGTTTTACCTGTCCGGTGGCAGGGGTTTAAGCCCCTGCTGCCCCACCCCCGCTGGCGCCCCCACTTGTCCCCTTACTTTCATTCAATTATAGGGAACACCGATTGATAGTCGGTTCTGATGTTAGCTCTGACAAGTGGAAACACATACTTATGATATTTTTAAAATCATTTCATTAAATAGAAAAATCATGTAGTGTTGAATAATTGCCAACATCTCTAATAAATCACTCACTGAGTCATTTATCGTACGATATTATTATAATCGCTGCATATAATAATATCACAGCTAGTTTAGTCAAGTGTTTTAAATTCTAAATTAATTACTCCCATCTTAAAGAAGAGTAATCTTGACATTGGTATTTCTTTCGTTTGCAGCAGCTCATGACTTGATGCCGTCTTCACATTATGACCATCGCAACACTTCGCTCGAGTTGAGTTTAAGATTTCCACACGGATCAGCTCCTCACATAATCGAGGACCATGGCTATGGTGGACATGGACACGAGGAAGACGAAGATCCAGAGTAAGTAACTGGTATGGTAGCGCAAAGACAAACATTATTACACGAAAGTTGTGCTATTATATAATAGATTAAGCCTATATGATAAAACTTACATTTCTTGGCACCTAAACCGCAATGTTTTGTCCGTAACGCCAATGTCTATGTGAAATTTAAAAGCAGTATGGTAAGTTATTTGGACTAGAAAATAAAGACTAGTTTATTTGACAGTACACTAGCTTTTGTGCCCACAGTGCACTTCTTCATGTGAATTATTTGGACTACTTTTTGTTAACTGGACCACACTAGCGGTTTTACCATTATTCTGATAACATTCTGGTTTTAACATTTTGAATCGCATGGTATACGCCACGTACACAGGAATGATAGGTACTTGAAAGGTATAGACATCTCACAATCACACGAGCATTTTCGCTTAGTCTGCTACTCTAAACGATTTCACTTCCAATATGGTTTTCTTCACAAAGCCAATGCTCGTGTCGCTGTTTATCAGGCCCATGTACACGGTGCTTAAGACGGTATGGCAAGCCTGCTCTTGACTGATATCTTAAACTGCAGTGGTGGACCTTTCCTATTATTTGACTCTACTTCAACCCCTTCTGTTAAACGCACTTTTGGAGACATTAAAAGGCCGGCTTTACAACTAGAACCATACAAATGAAACTACTTTACATAGCATGAACTTACAAATGTTTTCTTTATGAATCTTCAGAGATGTGTGGTCAGCGCTCAGTTCTATTCACTGTTTGATTGTTGTTATACTTGCTGCAACTCTTGATATGGCCTATGTGTTCCTGAAATTCAACACGGACTATAAGCCGGTGACTCTTGAACACGTCGAGGGTTACTTCATCTTCCTCTACCTCGTTTCTTTGACTTGGTTAATCTTGGTTCCTATTGCCAAGAGACCTCTTCCTGACACAGCCGATGAAGAACGCTGGGACCTGCATGCCAGCAATAAATATGTGAATGGTAAGTAGGGGTATGTTTGTATCTTAATACTGCATCACGTGCATCTAGCTACTGTTATTGCGATTTAACTTTAAGACATGTCAATTACAGTACTACATGAAAAGTGGAGGCCCTACCGTAGTACTATATTTGATACAACTACTGCGGTAATCATTTTATGAATGAACATAGGCCTATATCACAAATAAGCGGACGAATATTCTTGCTTGCAGTTGGTTTGTTGTTCTTTGGATGTGGTGGTTGCTTGTGGGCCATTATGCGAACAGCATTGTACGTAGAGCTAGGAGAGCCGTGCTATAGCAACGCCATGGCTTTTGGATCTATCTTAAGTGTAACATTCACGATGTTACAAATTTACTTTTTCTGGAGATTCTCTTCAGTGTGCCTAGTAAGATGGACACCACTTTGCAGGTAGGATGACAGCACTCACAATCCCACTAAACCACGACACTTCCACCAAACATAAACAAGACACTAACACCATACCCTATTATCTAGGCGCCTCACACACATTCCTACATATTCAACAGGATTATTGGTGCTTAAAACCCCATAAAAGTAGCGTACAAATCAAGTAAAAACAACAACAATCAAATAGTCTACCATCCCTATACTTAATCATTAATTTTAAAAAAAAAGTGACTTTCGTCATTATATCACCCTTCGTGGTCATGCGTAAAACGTTTTATAATACCGGTGCCATACATTTCTTTTTTGACTATATGTAGAATGGCACTTATGCATTTGGTGGCCACAAACTTGTCGATCTGGATTCGGACACTTATTGAAGAAACGTGGGAAGATTTCTTGGTAAAAACTTTTAAGTTCGACAGCTACGGCGGTGGATACAGTTCAAAAAAAGAAAAGGGTGGTGAATATGGGGCCGAAAAGACCGCATATTTATACGGTAGCGCTCCATACACAGGCGAAAAAACAGATCTTTTTTACGGCTCAAGTAAGTCAAGATGTGTGTTATTTCATTATTACATGCACTTCACGCAACAGGACGGGAAGACGGGCGCACGGTGGTTTTGTGCTCATCAGAGCGTGAAGACCATGTAAACAATTAGGGCGCTTAACCTGAATTTCCGTTGTCGAGTCGACGGCTCCCCGTCCTCTTGCGTAAAGTGCCTATTGAAACTAATCTAAAGCTTTGAAAATTATGCTTCATCATTTAGCTTTATCTACCCACATTCACCTAAATCGGAATCTTGCCAACAACAATTATAGTTCTGTAGTCTTGTCACGTGCCCTTGAGCATTCTTTACCTTCGAGACCTTCTTCCATCTCCACCCACAAGTCTCGACATTCCGTCTTTTCCTTATCATACAAAACATCCTGCATCTATTATTCATATTTTTAGCATTTGTATTCAGTCTTTTAATAAAAAAAATCACTCTTGAACCGCCGAAGAACGTCGTCAGATGTAATCGAAACGCCCTTGTAATTTTCTCAATCTATTATCAAATTAATATAGTTAATATGCGCAGGCTATACAAGGCAAAGGCTTCATTGATTTTAGGGCAACGTGTGCAATGCATATTAGGGATGGTATTTGAATAAGTAATATAATATTAAATTCCCTAATCTTTAAACGTTTTTAATATATTCTATCGCAGGTTACAACTCCACTAACCAAACCACGGAGCTTTACCAATGCGATAAAGGTGAAGGTTTGAGTAAAGCTGTTTACTACGCTTCAAAGTACCTGTACTCATTTACAGTCGAGTACAGCATCATGGCCGCTGGTCTGGCCTACGTCATGTGGCAGAACATTAACCGACGCATTGAGCACAGCCACGATCATCATGCCCCACACACGAATCACGATTACACGTTCAGCTTCGAGTGCGGTCTGCTGCTCGGAGTCCTCACAACAATGTGTGGTGTGATCATCCTCATACTAAACATTATCTATACAAAAGATGTGACAAAGAAAGACATGTCTTTTGAAACATACCACGGCTACCGTATTTTTTTAAATATAATATGCAGCATAGCGTGTGGAATGGCTTTCTACGGGATTTATAAAGGCGGTTGGAAATATGAACATGTGGAGGGTCCTATGCACCATTTCGATGTCAGTATGTTGTTTCTGTGTGTAGCTGGTTCTTTTCTTCAGAGTCTGTTCACGTTCGTGGCTGCTGTGGCCACACTGGGAACCTACCAACACGCCGGACTTTTGCTTTTTGACGAAATGACGCACATGGCACAGACTGTGATACAGATGGTTCTTATGTTGGCTGCCATGAGCCGTAAGCCACCAGAAGACTTCAAAGAAACACGCACCAAGCAGATACTTATGTTCTTGCTGGTGTGTAACGTAGCTTGGTGGATCCTGTGCTCGTATGAATTAAAGGGTGGATACGATCTCTTCGAAATGGAAAATGAGTATTATGGAAGCAGTGCATGGTATGTGGTTATCCATCTTGCGGCTCCACTCGAGATCCTCTTCCGCTTCCATTCAACTGCTTGTTTCTTTGAAATCTGGAGTACTGGTAAACCTTCCGAACCTGAACATTAAACTTTGAAAGAAGTCTTTTCTTAAAGCTACCTGGTGGTTACATGTAAAGTCGTTACTCGAATGGTATAAGCAAATACATAGACAAAAAAAAAATGGATGCCATGGCGTTGTTCTAAATACAAATTATAATAAAACACGACTACAGCACACGATACAATGTCAATTCTTGGAACATATAACTTTATTTCACCAATATCTCGAGAGCTCCTGCTCTTTTCTTCAGTGTGGCCTAAATGCTATGCAAAATATCAAACCTGAAAAAGAGAGCAGAAGCACTCGAATTACTACGTTAATGAAAATTATATGATAAATTAAGGAGGTATGGATAAATTTATGTCCTGATCTTATCGAGCATAGCCTTTCAACAATAGGTTCCTTATATATAAAGTATCATACCACTGGACCACGTAAGCCTATTTATATATCACATATGGATCATATTCTCCACCATGTGGATTCTGTGGTAAAGATTCGCTGGCGGAATACCTGTATAATTTCGTTACTTTAGTTTAAAACATTATGATTTGTAAGGATCATAATGCAGCGCTTGTAATTTGAAAATATATTTTTTATACAAAAGTATTATAATTACGGTTTCAAAAATGCTATATATTAATATGATATACCGGTACATAGTAACGCGTATTCTAATTGTTAAAATTAATGTTTTTAAGTGCTTTATATAGAAGAAATGTGTTCTCACTAATGCTAAAGAAGACAAACGGTAAATTGGAGAATACCCGAGAAACATCAGCTAAACCTAAGTAGGCCTATGATAAATTCTGAAACTCATACACAATTTTGAAATTTTAACTAAATTATGCATGAAAATGTGCAATGTTTTATTGCTCAGTTTCAAAACTGTACCTATTTTCCTTTTAATACTGCGTACGGTATGGCTCTCTAGATCGTAATAAGACACAATTTATCACAACACCCATAGTATTTGCAAGTCGATTATGCAGTTTATTTTATTTTGTTTAAAATATTTTTTAAGCACAAATGACGAAAACGAAGACATGAGGTATATGTATTTTTTATTGTTCTGCTAAATAGAAAGTATTGAAGGTTTACGTACCGATACAATTTTAAGATATTCAGATGGTGTAAAGGCCGATTTTTACTAGGCAGCGATGACGGCTGAGGTAAAAAGAAACCCAGAATCTATTATATTCTTTATACCAAGGAGGTATTAAATAACTATACACTCATCGTGTCGTAGTAGGTCACAGGGGCGGATCCAGAGATGTCTAAAAGGGGGGCCGAAAGGGGGCCGAAATTTGGGCCGATCGAGAAAACAGTGTCCCAGGGGGTCCGGGGGCATACCCCGCGAAATTTTTGTGTTCTAGACGCCCGAAAATAACATTTGAGGCGTTGTGGGCTATCATTTTTTTCTTTTTCTTTCTTTTTTTCTTTTTTTTTTTTCCTTTTTTTACCTTCCAAAAGGGGGGGGGGGCCAGGCCGCCCCCCCTAAATCCGCCCCTGGGTCATGTTCAATGGAGATACTCTTATGTATTACTGTTGAATTTATTTGTTTCTGTTACTGCATCCAGTGGAAATCGGTCTTTAGTAGAATAACGAATTCCTGACGAATACTTAGATACAGATATATTTTATACCTTTTATTATCATACAAACATACAATGTTAATTGCCTCAAGGACGAACTGTAGATAGCTAAATAGATTTCGGGCCAATAGTCCTCGGTAATTTAACAGTGTTAACGGCTATCGTGATTTATATATATACACATATATAGGCCTATACACACACATATATATCCCACACATAATATGTGTGTGTATATATATGTGTGTGTGTATAGGCCTATATATACATATACATACATATGCATTTAGGGCTACACATATTATATATATGTGTATATATATGTATGTGTATATATGTGTATATATATACATATATAGGCCTATAGATATGTATATATATGTGTGTGTATATATATGTATATATATAATAAGTCAATTTTGAGTTAATCTCTTTACATATATGCCTATCCTTGTATATTTAAAAAATAATTACCTTTTCAGAGTTCTGTCTAGTTTTAAAATGCTCTAGATGAGAGTGTATCACAATGATCTCTGTTCCATTTTTATAAATAGTCGAGAATTAATGTTGTACCCACTTCAAAAGTGTTAAAGTAGCGGTCGCAAATTGAGTTCGATTCACCACACCGCCCAATGGACAAGTTGGTTGAGGCGTCTGCACACTTTTAGTAGAGGACCTAGTTAGGATTCCAGTTGGGACAATTTGTTACACTTATTTTCATTTTTATCATTAATTTCTGTTACATCGTTTTTTTTTTAAATAAGAAGCTTAAAATGGATATGATATATACAACATTGAAATTATTAACATGATGCATTTTAAAAAGCATGACGACCATAGTTATCAATAAAATTTACTTTTCAAATATAAACAGGTTTGCATTATTTTCAATCTTGCGTTGTCAACTTTAACAATGTACATTAGAATTTAGCATTAAATACAATGAATCAGCTGAAACGCAGGTGATAAACGCTGTGGACAGGAAGTAACAGAAATGAAACTATCATTATTGTTGAAGTTTAGCAGTATGTCCGGCTTTCATAATTTTATTTTATTAATTGATTTAATTCATTCTTATACATTCATCTCACCACTACGGTAGAGAAGTGCTGTTCTAATAAACTTCATTTATAGGGCTAAAGTAGTGGAGTTGGTTTCTTAATAGTGAGAAAAATCCTCTTCTCGCAGGAATTGAACCAAACCAGTGCCCTAAGATTGGAAGGCAAGCTTGAGCTATACTCCACCATTATCATAATTTATCACCATCATCATCAACATTATCATCGCCATCATCACTATCATCATTATCATCATCGCCATCACCATATCAATCCTTGAGTAAAACACTATCATCTGAGAAAGAGCAAACTTTTAAACTTCATCTATACTTGGCAACATGGTGCAGTATTAATGTTCTATTGATCGAATGAATGATTGAATGAAACGAAAAACTAAAAATCATCTTCAGCTTGCCATACTCTACGTTTGTCAACAGATATAATAACGTAGCTTCTCTGTAGCTATGAACTCCGCCGTATACCAACCAGGGGTGGCACCAGGATTTTCCCGACGGGGGGGGGGGGGAAGGAAGGGGTCAGATTTCCCCGACGAAACCAAAGTGGGCGTGGTCGAGCTTCGATTAAAAGGTTGTGAAAGTGGTCCTGGAGGCGAAGCCCCCGAAAATTTTGACAATTTAGGGGTTTCAAAGGCTTATTTAATCGATTTTAAAGTCCAATAATATGTAGAAAATACATATAATTTTTTTTTGTCCCCGACGAATTGTGCTTTTTCTCCCCGACTGGTGCCACCCCTGATACCAATAGGATTAGCGCTCATTTTGTTTTCACATGGGGTGCGAGGTTTTGGACTTTTAATTTACATACTGCAATCAGAAACTAACCAGTCACTGTAACTAATGACAAGGGAAAGCGTACATAATTATTGTTATCAAACTTTACGTAACCAATAAAATATTATAGACATAGAAATACTACAAAAAAAAAAACTGACCTATTATAATTTTTTAAGACAAATAAAATTAATATGCCATGATCCCATGAATCAGTAGATATCTTAAAGTGATGAAAAACAACCCAAGTCAGTTGTGCGTAAATAGCGAAAATAAGATAAGCTTTGCGTCTAAATTCTTGACCTCATGTTATTTAAAAATGCATAACTCCATAACAGGGGGTCGTATACTAATATTTTCCTCAAAAATGCTTATTCTAAATGATTATTTTACACCTCTATATGATTTAAAAAAAAATGTTTTTGACCTCTGAAAGAAAGATGAAAAAGGAGAGCCGATCTAAAAAATGTATTTAAATAGGCCTCAGTACAGTACAGTAGGTATCACTAGACTAGGTACTATTTCAGTTACCGTATGACTTAAGAGATTTTGTGACTCCACTTTCTTATTAAACATTTCTCTAATTGTAAAGTACAAGTAATGTTTTAGATAGACGTATAGTAAATCATGTTTTTAACACAAGAAAATCATGTGACAAAAAATCAAATCCAAAGGACGAGTTAGACCTGCTTAAGCTGTGCACTCAGTGCACCTGACGTCGTTGGCCTACGCGATTCTATGGAAAAACGTAATGCCACGATGAACGAACAACGGACCGTTTTTATTGACGATCCGTTCAGACTGTCGCAGAGAATCAGCAGCAGGCGTAGCGTCGTCTAGCGCTGACTGGGAGCGGAGTTGGATTCGTCGGCGGACAGACGTACGACGCAGCGAGTGCCCTGCTTAAATGAATGGTATTTGACATCAGCTTGCCGTAACTGTTATTTTATACACATTCTCGGCCATCGATCTTTCATTGTGGTAAAGTATAGCACATGTAATTTCCAAATCATACATAAGCGTATTTTTTTAAATTATGATAAACGTAAGTAATTTTTTTATTTTATTTTATTCCTTTCAGCCAGAACCACAAAAAAAAAAAAAAAAAATCAAAAAAGAAAGAGGGCAGAGGAGGGCTGAAGAGAGGCAAAAGCGGTACAAAAAATACTACCACCGGAAATGGTGTGCCCCTCCAGCTCCAAATTCAAAATTGTTAACTAATATAAATATTAATTTTACCAAAAATATACAAATATCAAAATATATAAATAATTAAAAAAAAATTAAAAACAGTTGGAGGAAAAACAATTAACAATCCCATGAACGAAATTGTCTAAAATAATGTTTAATTTTCCCTTTGAAAGTGCCCCAGCTGTCACAAACAAAAGAATCTTTAATATCAATAGGTAAATTATTCCAAATTCTCATGAAACGGCCAGGAATGCAGTACTTAGCAGAATCTGTATTAGCCCGCAAATGGATAAAAAAGAGTTTATTGACACGATAACTACTGATTTCGATGTTATCGAGAACAACAGAATCATGTAAACAGTTATAAAGAAGTCTACAAACAAACAGTACGGTAAAATATTTCCTATTAGCTTCGGTTGTACAGAGTTCAAGACTCAAGGCGGTTGCTATATGTATCCTCCTGTCTTTGTTGATGCAAGATGAATCTGGTAGCGCGACGCTGAATCAATTCAATTTTGTTTATGTTCTCCTTCCTATAGGGATGCCATACATTACAACAATATTAATGTTAATTTCTAATACAGAAGTGGCCTATTTTGCAAAAAAAGTGTGTCATGCGAAAAAGAAGATAAAAAAAAAATCCTATGTTTCACCTGATTAGCAATATGTTTCAAACATTTCTTCTTGGAAATAAGAGTTGAACATGGCGCCAACGCTTTCGCTGTTGATGTCTTTATCTTTCTTCTGGTTTGAACGTTTGTGTGATTTGTGATTAGGATTTGAAGACACACCCCTTCTCTCTCCCTTCTCTTTAAAATACTTCTCGTAGGCAGGCGACCCTAAACTACCTTCATCCTTTGGGGCGAGCTTACTTTTATTATCTGGTTTGGAGGATTTAATCGGAATCTCATTTCGTTCCAAATTGATTTCACTATTAGTTTCGTCGTCAGCTTGAGAGAATGCAGGATTCGTAAAAATTTGTTCCTGTGGGTCATTGTAACTAGGCTTCAAACTGACTTCTGAAATGTTAGTTGCAACAGACTCATCGACGTTTTCAAAAGTTGAAATGTCAGTCAACAATTCGCTTGGAATTTCTTCATACTGCTGCGTGGATAAGTCATCATTTTCATTTGTATCGCGGATCTCCCCATTGTCTGCCGTAGCATCTACTGTAAGAGTTGATTTTCGACTGCGAAGATGAATACGTTCTATCGGATAAGCTTTTGCCAGTAGCTTATTGTTAGTTTTTCTAGGTTCTACCTTCCGGTTTGTCCAATAGTAAATAAACAAACATGCAAAGAATGTCTGCACAAGTACAGCAATACCGATCGCTAATCCTGCCATCCTGCCAAGTTCCTCTACTGTTTTAATGGGATGTGTGACATATAGTTGAATGGTGTCCTTGACAGTTCCAACAATGTTAGAAGCAACGCACGAATAACGACCTTGATCAGCCAAAACGATGTCGGAAATAAGCAAAGAGTTGTTCGACTGTAACTGGTATTTTAGCGTTGTGGTTGCTGTGAGCTCAGTTTTATTCGGTAATACCCAAGAAACAACAGGCTGCGGAATTCCAAATGCAATACAATCCAAAACAACATCTAAACCCTCGGCTCTGAAAACAATTGTTTTGTTTAATTGTATACTTGGCAAAGAACATACTAGTTGGGAATCAGACAGATCAATTACTTTGATCCCTGTGATGTTAGGTGGTCCTTCGCAAATAGCTAGGTCTTCCATACTCTTCTGTTGTAACCATGTGTGGTATGGCTTTAAGCGACAATCACAAAGTAATGGGTTGCCATTCAAGTTGATCTCCTCAAGATATATTTGTTTTTGGAAAAAGTCGTCGTCGATTGTTTCGATATTATTCCCTCTTACGTCTACAACCTCAATGATACCTGCATTCAAAAAGTATGAAGTCTTCAGATCATCTAACTGATTGTCACTTAATACAAGATGAGTCAAACTTTTTCCTATAACTTCAAAAAAATCAGAAGGAATATCATATATATTGTTTCCTGAAATATCGACTATATTAAGAATATTAGAATGATTAAACGTCATAGAAAAATTTCTTAGCCACTGCGGGGCATGATTTCCCCCGATAAAAACCTTGGTAAGATCTGGAAGAAACGCAAACGCACCGATTTCAAGACTCTGTATAAAATTATCGCTAATGTCAATGACCTTCAAATGGTGTAACATCACGAATGTTCCATATTTGACCTCCTGGAGATTGTTACCATTCAGATAAATTCTTTCAATGTGTGTTAATGTAACGAAGCTGTTTGGTGATATGAAGTAAATACGATTACGACTAATAGAAAGTACATCTATTGGCGCTGCAATGTTCTGAAATGAAGATGGTGTGATGAACTCAATCTGGTTGTTCTCCATTAGGATTTCAGTTTGACCAATACTACTATCAACATTGTTGTCTTCTGTTGTTACACTGACGTCGTGAAGATCATGTATAAGGTTACTTTCTAGTATAATTGATCTAACTGCTCCTGCCATAAAATCTATCCCAGCAAGTCGATTATACGACAATTCCAAAATTTCCATAGTGCTCTTTGTGACAAAACGAAAATTTGTCAATTTGTTATGGCTGACATCAATTTTTCTTATCTTTTGAAAACTAATGGAAGCGTCTTCGACAATGAAGGCACTTATTTGGTTTTCTCTCATATCCAGATTGGCCAATAAGGGAACTCCTTCAAAACTTTCAGCTATCACATGGCCTATATTGTTGCGACGGAGGGACAATGTCGTCAGCCGGGGTAAATGCAATTCAGGTGTGAGTAAGAAGATATTGTTATCAAGCAGCAACGTTTCAAGAGAAACCAGCTCGTTTAGAGCAGGAAGATAACTCAGATGATTATTGGATAAAATCAGTAAATGCAACTTGGTCAGTCCTTCAAATGCTGAGCTGCTTACATCGCTAATATAATTTCCATTCAAGTTTATTTCAACAAGCTGATTAGCGTGAGCGAAAGCATTTTTCTCAAGATGATCAATATGATTATGTTGCATACTCGAAACACGTATTTTTGTTGCATTTACAAATGCATTGTCAGGAATTCTATGAAGAAGATTATTATCGAAGACAAAGATTCTTGTTCTATTTTCAAACTCTGGAAAGCATGTGAGCTCCTTCGACGAACAGTCTGAAGTGTTTGTTAAATCATCAAAACTACAAATGACGTCAAGGCAGCCATCAGCACAAACTATAACGGTTAACCCAATGATGAGTATGAGGCTGGAGTTACCTAATTTGTTCATGTTTCCATTACTGCATCTTTATAAGAAAATATAAATTTAAATATATTCGTCAAAACATACACAAATTCAAAATATAGACATCAAAATATAAAAACATAGGCCTACACATAAGAAATATCAAAATATTTTTTTTCATAAATTTTTATATTGGTGCTATCGAAAAAATTATATATTGGTATCTTTATTGCAAAAAAACAAAACAAAACAAAACAAAACCAAAAAAAAAACATTAAAAAAAAACAAACGTAAAAAAACACATTTGCATCCAAAGGCTGAATTACTGTATTTTTTTTAATGATTTTTTTTATGAAACGGTGACATAAAGGCTGAAACTGAAAATACATGCGATAGAATAGAGTCACAGGCAGTATTCGGTAAATAACAATTAAATTTAAATGTGTACAAATACTACAATATAGATTAGGGGCCTACAGACAATAAAATGCAGTATTTTACATGATGTCAAAATGCCTTCGCTTAAGAATTAAATTTCATCCTTTGGCTTCAAATACATGTTATTTTTATTTTTTGTAGTAACAAAGATACCGTGATATATAGGTCGCTATGTGCTATGTTAGATGTGTATAAGAGACAGCACTTTAACTTACAAAATTATTTTAAAAATCAGTGGAGAAAAAAACTGTACTCTAATTTAAGTATTGAGAGTGCCATTCCGGCCATCTGAATGTGCCATCATAAATTGGTTCTTGCCTCAGCCCCAACCATGGTGTACTGAGGTGGTGTAGACCCTCTATGTCTGTGAAAGTAGCTCCATATTCGCCTCTCTAGTTTAAATTACTGGATCAGCCACTGGAAGCGCCTGTACAGGTAGGCCTACAAACGAGTATCATTTTTAGACTACTGTATCAACTACCTAAAAAGCACCACCGTGTCAGTTTAAACAAACGAAGAGTTGGTTTTGTATAAACATCTGTTGATGTGTATAAAGTCTTTCAGATCGTCACTATGTGTTAAAAACATAAACATAATATCTTACCTTTAAAAATATATATAGAACACTACCAAACAATAATTTGATCTCGTACCCTGTGTATAATGTACAGCTAAGATATATGTTACTCCATATGGTAAATGGTACCCAAGGCATGTGCATTGCTGAATACCAATAATAAACATGGTAAATTGTCAATTGAAAGCAAACAGTGCACTTAATCAATGTATTTACTTTCGCTGTTCGAGCATAAAAACGTAAACACCTAAGCAATGCGTGCATAAACACCAATTCATATATTTTAATATCTATCTTTGGTGTACTTTGTTTGCACAGTTTTTTTTTTCATATAGTAGGCCTAAGCATACATTCGTGAATGTGTAGGTTAATCCTCAGTCTACTGAACGTTTTAAATTGTGTTTGATAGCTTGATGATATGTCCCCGACTACGTCGTCCATTTAGTTGGCAATCCTGTATATATTCATGTTTAATATCTTAGCATAAGCAAGACTTTAGCCTATAATGATAGATACCGGAATTTTAATCTATGACATAAATATATGCTCTATTTACACAAGTTTCTCTACTTCATAGGTCATACGTGCCTCTTATATGATCATTAGATTCATGTCATCGCCACTGTCATCGTTTCTACATCATCGCTGTTATCACCATTAACTTCGTCGTCGTCATCACCATCCGCTTGATCATTATTATTATCATCATCCAGTGTCATCATCATTACAATCATCATCATCATCATTTGCATCAACAACAACAACATTTCTGTTTGCTTTGAAATTAAAATTAACTTGATTTGCATTAATTTAGCCTTACATGTCAGAAATTAATTATTTTTTCATTAGGAATAGGCATTTTGTTTTAGCATTTGTAGACTGTGCTTTAAACCTGTGTTTCCTCGATCAGTGATGAATTCTATGATGGCTGTCATGCCTTGAAAAGATTCTGATATTTGCTAAGATATCCCTCCTCCACTGGAAATTTGCTAAGCAAAATATTCACGCTCCCTCACTTATCATCGAGCCCTCCCATTTCACCTTCGCCCAACCTCCATCAGCCCCACCCCTATAACTGCGTCTTTATTGCCATAACATACTTTCGATGGGGCATAGGCCCGTTGCTACCTGACCACCCGGCCTTTTGCCACCCAACCCTTTGCCACCCGGCCCGTTGCCACCCGGCCTTTTGCCACCATAGGCCCGTTGTCCCCCGGCATTTTGCCGCCCGGCTTTTTGCCACCCGGCCTTTTGCCATTTAGGCCTGTTGCCACCAGGCCTTTTGCACCGGCCCGTTGCCACCATAGGCCCTTTGCCACCCGGAACGTTGCCACCCGGTCCGTTGCCACCTTAGGCCCGTTGCCACCCGGCTTTTTGCCACCCGGCCCGTTGCCACCCATAGTTGTATAGTAGGCCTGTCACGCAAAAATTGGTCCGGGCCAAAAAATGTCCGGCGGACAGATTTTGGCCGCCAAAATCGGTCTGCCGGACTACTAAAATCGGTCCTCCGGATGATTTTAGCCGCAAAACCGGTCCTAGTAGGCCCACTGTCCTTCGTAGTTTACCGCTAACGAGAAGAGCTTCATCCAAAGTTTATCATTGACGGTTATTTCTCATGAGAAAATATATAGGCTTGTAATAAATTGTCCGCATAAAGTGACAAAAACCAAATAAATTCCATAAAGTTCATTGTACACACATAATATAAGCTTCTGGTTATACTATAAATAACTATTATTATTATAATTGTGTTGTTTTTTAATTGTAAAAGCACAGGATATTTCTTTCTATTTTAGAATAAGAATATACTTGAAAATAAAATGTAAAAATAAACTAGAAACTGCAGTATTTCTCTCTTTATGCGGATTTATAACAATGTTTATTTCTGCAATTTTCTCCTAGTGGTAAGAACACACATAATATAGGCTTGTGGTTATACTATATACATAACTATTATTATTATAAATGTGTTGTTTTTTAATTGTAAAAGTACAGGCTATTTCTTTCTATTTTAGAATAAAAATATACTTAAAAATAAAATATAAAATAAACTAGACACTGCAGTATTTCTCTCTTTATGCGGATTTATAACAATGTTTATCTGCAATTTTCTCAAGAAAAAAATCTGCTACAGTGGGCCTACTAGTAGGCCTACAAATCTGTAAAAAAAACCCCGCAAAAATAATATAAATATTCGACATTTTCAAAGGTGACAAAAGGCCGGTTGGGAACGGGCCTGGGTGGCAACTGGCCTAAGGTGGGAACGGGCCGGGTGCCAAAAGGCCTGGGTGGCAACGGACCGGGTGGCTAAAGGCCGGGTGGCAACAGGCCTAGGGTGGCAATGGGCCGGAACCTCTTTCGATGATGTTTGTACACACCTTGTCGCTATGTGCTATGTTTTCCCACAAATGTTTTGATTTAATGCTTTATTCTAGCTAGCAATTCAATGGATGGAATAACACCATCTAATCTGAGGCTCAGTATAAAAAGACTTGTAAAGATGGGTATTAAAAAAAACAGTGGTTTGGAGAATGGTTTTGTATAAATAACCTACATAAACTTTACACGGATGTTACCCTGAAACATTCGTTTCCAGTCGGAGAAAGAGTTAAAAACTGGTGTTCGTTCTTTTCTTTTGATATGACACAGAGATAGAAATGACTCTGCTAACAAATTTTAATTAAACGATTACAACAGGAACCTTAAATACTAATTTTATAATATTAAAAAATAAATGCACGGTGGAAATTGCAATCGACAATTTAAGATACGTTTGTGCAATTTCTTCACATTTATTTATAAAGAAAATAGTTGATTATTCATTAAGTAAAGATACAGGTCCATGTGTCTTGTCACTTTTGTAAAAACTCATATTGTTTTATTAATGATTTTATTAGTTTATGTTTATCCCCATGGCCTTATCCAGTGCCAATATTTTAAGTATATTAGGCTCACATGGCGATGACTCATTTTGTTCACTGGCGGCCGTCGAATTCGATTTTATTAATAGGCATAAGAAAACCTGAACTAATATAAACATGGTCTGCTTAGCCGCTTTCTTGAGATAGTTAAGCCAGCACTCGCTGTGTCGTAAGACCGTCGGCGACGAATCCAACTTCGCTCCCTCTGAGCGTTAAACGACACGACGCCGTCCGCTGATTGTCGCTGGTAGTCTGAACAGATCGTTATTAAAAACGATCAGTTGCGCGCGCGTCATGGCATTCTTCATAAAATCGAGTCAGTCGAGAGTGACAATTTATCAATGTTGGTGGGGCCGTATTGTAGATTTACAGCTAAACTACGAATTAAATATTAGGCCTAATTACAAAACATAATACGCTGACATACTTTTGATTATTTGGCAAGTGATCTGAGAAAAAAACTCGAACGCAGTCGACTTAGAAGGCATTAGGTCTATCACTAAATTTCAAAGAGCAAACCAAAATAAGATAATTATAGTTTGTGTACAATAATTTGTATCTTTTTCAACTTCAAAGAACCATAAGGTAGTGCTTTGTATCACTGCTGTTGGCCGCTACGTAATTTGCGAACAGAATGGTAATTTCGTCGGGTTTAATAATCCTCTAATTTTTGGCAAAAATTATCAATTATCAATTCGGTACCATAATTTGCGATTTTTTTCTGGTTTATATATTAACTTAGTGACTCTGAGTGTTTGAGAAAAGGAAGTTAAATGAGTGGACTTAAAACAAAGTCAATTGTAGTTTTTCATACTTTAAGCATAATTAGTAACACGAATATCTATACAATAAGGACTACATGATTGACGGCGTCAATTACTGGTAACAACGCTACCTGGTCAGTATGTACTTTATAACGTATTCTAAGAATCACAAGTTGGAACTCCTCCCAATTCTTTATTTCTAATTTACACAAAAGACTTAGGAAAGCTTTCCTGTTTCTTTTGTTTTGCACTCAACTTAAGTCAATCGTCCAATTAGACAGTATTGTGCAATGTATAATTATCGTCTTAAATTCACTATTATGCAGGGCGAAGCGTTTTATATCTGTTTTGTTTGGAGTAAGGCTCGCATATGAGAGCTGAAGTAATTGTAAAGTCAAATAGAGCTCAAGATAAGGCTGATGCAGTTGGTAATTGGCGAGACCATATTTTTTTAGAATAATAAATGCTTCGGTACATCACGTTTAAGGCCATGTAAAAAAATAAGTTGTTGATCGTCGAGTCCCCTCCCAACATAACAAAAAAATCACTCGACCATTTTTTGTTTCATTTTTGCCAAAAATCTTTCCGCCTACAATTCAACTTCGGCTAGGTCTAGGCTTTTTTGTGTGTAATTATTTTGTCTAATATTTGTTTGTTCGCATTAATTCCACCTGATCAAACACTACACTGGAAGATCTGTCAAAGCAAAGCATTAAAGTCAGCCACCAAGCCACCATTTACACATGAGGCATTGCACTCCATGGGTGATATAAAGACTTGGTATGTATCAATGGGTGGTTTAATTACCGGGGGAAAATCTATCTTCCTACCAACTTTATTTTTTTAAAAGGACGATCAACAACTCTATTTTTAAATGGCCTAATTATTAAACTCTTAAACTGGTGGAGGGTACAACAAAACATATAAATAAGACTCCCCTAAAATAGTTCCACCTCCAACAGTAAAATAATTAAATAACAACTAGAAACTAGACCACACATAGAAAGGTATAATATCTGTCTCTTATACACATCTAGATGTGTATAAGAGACAGTTGTACACACCTTGTCGCTATGTGCTATGTTTTCCCACAAATGTTTTGATTTAATGCTTTTAAAGTCTGTCTCTTATACACATCTAGATGTGTATAAGAGACAGATATATATCCGATAAACATAAATTAAACATAAAGTAAACATAATTAAGGCCTATAATTATATACTTGGTCAGCGTCACACCGATAAAAAATCAGGAGTAGTGGGTAAGTTTTACTTCAAATACAGTACAGTAAACATAGCCTATGTAGTGGTCCCTGAGAGATTATTATTGTTTAAATTCGGCTTTAAAAGTTGTGCTTTAATCTGCTGCTGAATTTTAAAAGTAAGGAGAAAGTCATTCGTTGTAGAACGTTGTTAAATTAGTTTTAAAAATGTCTTTATTCACGGCTTTCAAAGTTTTGCTATTGATCTGCTGCTGAATTTTTAAAGTAAGGAAAAGTTATTCGTTGTAAAAAGTTGTTAAATTATTTTTTTTAAATGCCTTTATTCATGGAGGTGCTATATCCTGCTTTAAGCATTTAAATATATTTCTGAAAGATTAGGATGTTTCCTGTATATATTTTTAACATAATTATACAAAGGCATGTTTTAAAGTAACCCTTAACATGATTAAACACTACGTAGAATCCTCATTAATGAAAAGCATACAATTTGTATTGTATTGATGTCTAGTTTTATTGAATAGGCTTCAGTACTAAAATGTGACGTCATATCTCGTTGTATTACGTAATTGTAGGCGTTGAGTTACTGTTGTTTTTATTAGCCAATAGGGATGAAGCAAGGTGATTTTTTTTTCTGTGAAGCATGCTATGTATACAAAGGTATGTCCAGGGGACGACTGTGAATTAGACCCATGTTTTAGGAAGGATAACTTGTAAATGTAGCAACGGACCTGAAGTAGAAGGCGTTAATGTGTGAATGTTCTCACCTTGTAAAAAGGTGTTCGGATAATTCATCTTAAAAGTAAACTCTCTCGAAGTTGTAGATCATGATAAGAGCGGAACGAAGTTGCGTCAGCACTCAACAACAGGTGTCATATTCTTACCAAAGTTCAATACCAATTGAATCGACACACTTTTCTGCATATACTGATGGTATAGAAACCGGTGAACATTCGGACAATTTTTCAATTCATCGATTGTTGAATTATAGAGGTAATGAGAAAGGAAATCAGGCCTATGATGGTGATCGACAAGAACACACAGAGGACGAAGATAGCGAGAATATACTTAATGGACGAACTTGTATTCGAAACAGTGTTGCAGCGGATATTGGTGAAAATAAGGAATCTTCTTCTTACCCTCAACCTGGCTTTCCACAACCTTTTTTTGCAGCGTCTGCAGTAACGTTGATGTCTGAAAATCCAGGCCGAATCTCCCCAACTGAACAGCAGTATGGCGTTAGTTCTAGCGACGTACATACAGTTATTAACGGTCTGGACACACCTGCCGATAAACCGCCTCCAGAAGATCCTCAGAAATCGGTCCAATGCATAAAATCGAAAGTATCTGTATTTCTCTGTAATCGAGAATTATGGATGAAATTTCACCAGCACGGAACGGAGATGATAATTACAAAACAGGGCAGGTGAGTTTTAACAAGACAAGCAAAATACAGTAGATAAAAAAATCTAGATGAAAGTGCTAGCTTATTATTGTACCCCGTACAAAACAAAATAATAGGCCTAATTTTGCTTTACGTCTGTGAATGACCGTAAATAGAAACTGTTGAAGGTTCTGTAATTTTCATAATTACTAGTTATCATGCATTTGATTGGTGAATAGTTTATGATAGGATAGACCTACTCAAATCAAGAAAATTAATCGTTGTTGGTTAGTATACGCATGGAGGTATAATATACGTTTATGATTACGGTACTGTATATATCACTTGCGCTATATATAAGTTATTATTCGCGGTAGATGCTTGAAGTTTATACCAACTACACACTATATAGTAGCCTATAATCGTTTTTTCATACTGTTACCAGGTAAGAAACAGCTTTTTAGTCTATACGTTTATACATTACCACCGGTGGTATGTAAATGCTTTTTATTATGGTTATGATTCTGTACCAATGTTAATATCAATTAAAATCAATGATTCAATTATTAAAGTCTTTTGTATTAACAATATCAAGTTTGGATACATTTTTAAATTCTTAGAAGAAATAAAGCAGTATACTGTAGGTATGTACTCGTCCATTTAAGTGATCATTCTACGTACTTACCAGCTCTTTAAAGTCGCAGATCGTAGAGATATTTTTTTCTTCTATAAGTTTTTTTAGTCAACTCAACCTGAAAGTAATTGATGACCAAAATAATCAGGCCGCATATGCTAGACTATAGGCTAAGAATATCAACCTACACTCTATATAAATTATAAACGACGTCTGTTATTTACGACGAAAATTGTTTTTGCGTTCATATGTTCTGTTGTAAGCTGTATATTTGAATTCTACGAGTACAGTATAGCAATTTTGTGAGAAATTTTGATGATGTATATTTAATTTTATTTTAAATATCTTTTGATAAATATTTGAAGTCAAGTATAAAATTCGCAATGTCGCCCAATGGTTTAATGACATTTCTAAGTTCAATTTTAATTTGAACTGTGGAAGCTATTTCTTTATAGTCAACAACTCCCTACCACTTGTCAATGTACTGTCATTAATAAATACAAAAAAAATGAATTTCTAGTATATTATATACTATATTTCCATAGTTTCCAACTGAAATCAGAACGGGACTTAGTTGGTGTTAACAAAGACACGTTATTATTTAAAAATACCTTTCATATTTTTCGGATTTAAGTAGGCCTATACAGTATTAGTAATAATACAGGCTAGTTAGCCCATCGGTTGTGGCTTGGACTCCCAACAGGGGGGGGGGGGGGGGGTTCGAAACTCTAGCTGTGCAAACCGCTTGTGTCCCTTAGCAAGGCACTTTACCTACGGTTGCCTCTCTCCACCCGGGAGTACAAGTTGGTAACTGGTAGGTTTGAACACAACTGCGCTGATACTAGCTGCAATATTATGGAATTCTCCCCAGGGAGCTGAGTATGTGTTCCGTGCGTGTTTGCGCTATATAAGACCGATATATTATTAATATTAAAGCGAAATTGAAATAACCTATATTTTTCAATATGACAATATTGAACCCACCATATGTGATTCCTTAAATTAAACTATTCACAAAATTTATCGATGATTTTATTTGGATTTCTAACTGCCTTTGTATAGGCCTATTTAAAAAAAATTGTTACAAAAGAGTCTACCGTTTTTTAGAAAGACGTGAATATTTAATTTTTTTAAACTAGGCCAACATTTTACCAGGGAGGTGCTATATTTCTGATTGTATCATGGTGATGTAAAGGGCTACTGCCGACTTTTTGGATACCTCAATCATATTTCAATGTAAAGGGAACGCTGTGTTACACAAGTTCATTGTCTTAATCTTTAGTTCACTAATTGGCATTTTATTTAAGAAGATTAGCAAGATTAAGTGTCACTCCTTCCAACACCCACTTAATTCCCATTACTTTAAGCACGTAGAACATGTGTCACATTGTTACTTTTCGAGAAACAGAATAAAGAGCTGCAGATACTTGTCTAAGCTTAATTCTTATCTTTCAGTAATTTGGTCATTAATCTTTGAGATTTCTTAGTATTATCAATGTCGGCATTGATAACGATAATGGGCTAGCAATTAATGTATAGACCTATGTGGGCCCGCATTGTTATTACAGGAAGTAGACACTAATAGGATTTTTACATAGCATAAATATTATGTTATATGTGGCTCAAAATTCTGTATCCGTAACAAGAACATTGAAAAACGATCAAATTAAACGGTTGGTATGTTGAGAAATACAATTAATGGTTGAACTGGTTAATGATACTTTTTTAATGTTAAGTATGAAGATTTGTATCATAGCGCTCACATCCATTTTAAATGGTTTTGAAGCCCTAATTAATTAAAATTGTATTAGATCAACACCTAATCTCAGAACATAGAGCCTCTGTTTTTTCTTTTTTTCTTTTTTTTTTAAATTTTAACAATATTTAGTGGTGTAAGGTTCCACATAGGAAATTAAAAGAAAAAACTACAATGACTTTAAAACGGGTCAGTTATTTAAATATTTTACAGATAATAATGTGCACAGGTGATAATTAGGAGTAACCTTGGTATTCGTTATTATCTTCTCCTTAATTGATATAATATTGTCTACATTTATGTAAGGCCTACAGTAAATTATTCTGTCCATACAAGTTTGATAGCGCTAATGAGTCTCGTTACGAATCAGTACTTATACTGTAATGAGATAATCCTTGATTCGTAAACTACTGATAAGCGCTCCCTATATCATACAGTATTGATAGCATGATTATAAAAAAGGCATTTGTACCAGATGGAAGCGATTTTTTAAATATAATTTTTAAAAATTTATACGGTAATGTTTGACAAAAATCCTGAATTGAATAGATTAAATTTCTTATACATGTTTGCTCAATTAGTGTTTTATTTCATTCATTTATTGCGTTACTGTACGGTATATATTAAAAATCATGAACGGAATTCCTTAGACCTACATTGAACTCAATTATTTTTTTTTTCAATTTTCTGGATATTGTAGGCTTTTTTTAAAAATTCATTTTTTATCAATTAAATTACATTGTAAAATATTAAATACAATTTATCTTAGTCCTAACTCTATATCCTCATTTTAAAACTTGTGTATTTAATAAACATGAGGATATGTGTTTATGTTTACCCATTTTTATTTTTGCAGACGAATATTTCCACAGTTGGGTTTCCGCCTCGCCGGTTTGAATCCCACATCCACTTATAATGTATTTGTAGATATGGTTCTTGCAGATCCAAATCATTGGAAATTTCAGGGAGGAAAATGGGTTCCCACTGGCCAAGCTGAACATCTCAGTAAAGGTACGTTCAATCATTAGTCGATTACATTGGCAGTTGTTATATGTTTTATTTATTATACTTGAGTAATGCCCTGTCCAAACTATCAACTTTTATTTGACAAAAACATGTGATATGCGTAAATTTGGTCATCATGACATCACGTCGAATCAAATGAGGCGAGTCAAATGGCCGAGCGGTTAGCAGGGGCGCCGCAAGGTACAGCCATAATATCAGTGCTGGTTCGAACGGCAGACTAGCCTATGGTTCTGCTGGTAGAACAAGTCTTCTCGGATAAGGACTATAAACAGTAGGCCCAGTGTATACAGTGGCTCGTGTGCAATATAAAGAACCCAGTACATCCTTCGAGATGAGTAGGGGGATACCCGGTGTACTGGAACAGACAGCCCCTGTGGTGGACGACGAGAGTTGCTGGTACCGGGTTACCGGGTAGCACAGGCACGAAGGGACCCTTAGGGGTGAAGAAAGTAATTGATCGGGTTTCCTAGTCCACATATCAAGCGCCCTGAACATCTTATATATGGATACGGCACTATATAAAACTACACTATTATTATTATTATTATTATTATTATTATTATTATTATTATTATTATTATTATTGTTATTGTTATTGTTATTGTTATTGTTATTGTTATTGTTATTGTTATTGTTATTATTATTATTATTATTATTATTATTACATGTATTATGTATAGGTATATCATGACTATATATGAATTTTTTTGTCAAAGAAAATTTGATAAACTAGACAGAGCTTTAGGGACGTCCAAATGCTTATATTTGTGAAAAATCATTAATGGGCCTACCTACCTGATAAATTGATTGTTCCAAATACATTTAAGTTTGAAAATTAAGAAACAGTATCATATTAAATTGTATCATACTGCTATGACAAATTAATGCGAAATACTGTATACCGGTATGTCATTTACAATATTGAGAATTGAATGTATATATTTTATAAAGAGATCTAAGAACGTGATCTGGGAGCATTACTTGAAAGAATGGTCTTTCTAAATTGTTCATATTTTTGAAATAATTCATTGAGGGGTTAAGATACCCTAACCCAAGTATTGCGATATAACTGTGTTCACATTTTATTTCTCCCTTTCTCCAGGGAACATGATGTACATGCACCCTGACTCGCCAAACAGCGGCGAACATTGGATGAAACAAGATATAATATTCAACAAACTCAAGTTAACCAATAACAAAGGCAAAGACAACGGCTACGTAAGTAATGACGTTGGCAACAGTCATATGCAAATTAGCAACAATGTATTAGCTGTCCATGAGCAAAAATATTTTAATAAAAATGCAAAACAAGCTCTGTCTGTAAATGGTATCTTAAAACTTAGAGAAATTTATGGCAGATTATGACGTCAGAATACCACTGAAAATGAACCACTACAATCTTCATTAAATCTATAGCATACGCTCAGCTTTGTAGTTGTTACAAATTACATACACTGCTCTCAACGGTATTGTTTTATTTTTGTCCTTAGATTGTTCTAAATTCGATGCATAAATATCAGCCTAGGATACATGTGATGGACTTAAACGAGAGGTACAAGATGTTGACACATTGCTTTCCTGAAACGCAATTCTACGCAGTTACAGCTTACCAAAACACAGACGTGCGTAATCAAGCGTTTCACTTAACTTATATATATATATTTTTTTTTGTGGTACGGTATTTTGGGCTATGTATATATGTATGTATGCATGATTATATATATACATATATATATATATATATATATATATATTATATATATGGATATGTATTTAGATATATATATATGTATATATATAGTCCTATATATATGTATATGTGTGTGTAATAGAAAGTGTAATGATTATAATAATTAATGTGTTACTATTAAAAACATTCATATGTCTTTACGTTTATCTCATAGGTAACACAGCTGAAAATTGATTATAATCCATTTGCCAAAGGCTTTAGAGACAGTTATGACGGGTAAGTCCAGTTATATATTTTGAACAAATATATTTTGAACTTTGTAACGACCTTGTATTTAATGTTGGCCTAGGCCTGTAATTAAAAACACGGTGTTTATTCTGTATATTAAGGATGTTTTTGTTTTTAATAGACATACACTAGTTACAATGCCTTTCCTATGTTGACATTTCTTTAGAAAAATTCATAATTCATAATTGTAATAAAAATCACCAAAATAATATACTTCTACTTCCGCAATAGGTCACGCGATCATATATCATCGTCTCTAAATGGGCATTCCCAGTTGCCTTACTCGTATCAAACGATTCATCAACATCCTATGACCGGTATAATGCACGTGGGTCAGATGCCTGAAAGTATGGCGTACTTTCGACGCTCTCATGACGATTTCTTGACTGGAGGACACGCCGTTGATCACTTTCATGGACTTCAGGGACCGAATTACCAACTCAATAATACTCATACGCGATTGAACGAGACATATACTCGTGACCTCTTATTGACAACCACAGCGCCACAAACAAATAAGGCTGGAAGAGTGATTGGAGCCGACATTAAGTCCTTGGAAGATATTTTTAATGATTTTTTACTTAAGAAATTTAATTAAATTATGCAAGATTCATCCCATCCATTATTTTCAGACATTATCATAAATAGATCGGGAAGGGTTAGACATAAACAAAACAAAATATCCACAAACTGTTTTAAAAATTCAGCATTGTACATCGCTTGTAATCTATTTAATCAAAATTTCAGAAGATAACTGCACAGGACTCAAATTTATATTTTCTAAGATTCTATGTCATGTACAACAAATATCTCAGAATGTATTATTTTGACAATAAAGTTGACTTGTATCTTGTATATGTATATGTGTATATGCATATACATAGGCCTATATATATATATATATATATGTGCGTGTGTGTGTGTGTGTGTGTAATAGAAAGTGTAATGATTATAATAATTAATTTGTTACTATTAAGAACATTCATATGTCTTTATGTTTATCTCATAGGTAACACAGCTGAAAATTGACTATAATCCATTTGCCAAAGGCTTTAGAGACAGTTATGACGGGTAAGTCCAGTTAACAAAATTTGTAATCCAATCAAATATATTTTGAACTTTGTAACGACCTTGTATTTAATGTTAATGTATTTTAAACACGGTGTTTATTCTGTATAATAGGGATGTTTTTGTTTTTAATAGACATACACTAGTTACAATGCCTTTCCTATGTTGACATTTCTTTAGAAAAATTCCTAATTCATAATAATTGTAATAAAAATCACCAAAATAATATACTTCTACTTCCGCAATAGGTCACGCGATCATATATCGTCGTCTCTAAATGGGCATTCCCAGTTGCCTTACTCGTATCAAACGATTCATCAACATCCTATGACCGGTATAATGCACGTGGGTCAGATGCCTGAAAGTATGGCGTACTTTCGACGCTCTCATGACGATTTCTTGACTGGAGGACACGCCGTTGATCACTTTCATGGACTTCAGGGACCGAATTACCAACTCAATAATACTCATACGCGATTGAACGAGACATATACTCGTGACCTCTTATTGACAACCACAGCGCCACAAACAAATGTAAAGCAGCTTCTACCTGTATACTCTTCTCCACCGGTGACAACTGAGAAAACCGTACCTATACCTGGTGATTTAATGCGGAATTCAAACGCAAATTGGCTTGATGCACCGCCCTCTATCAACGAGTCGTATCCACAATCGGATCGGAAGCGTAAAAGATCACCGGATAGTCCGGGCGAGTCGGCAGCTGACGGACAATTACAAATCGATACGGACAGTGGCTACCTCGGTTACAATAGTCATTTACGGTATCAAGAACTTTACTCAAATACACATTCTTTTTCTAGTCATTCTCATAATACTTACTTGCATCAAGCGAACATTAGAGACGGAAATTACAGTGCCCCAGATGATGTTCATTCCGTGTTGAAATCTATGAGGCAGGTGTGTTATGAGCAGCATGCTTAGGAATTTAAAATATACCTATATACTATAGCCTACTAAATATTAATATCTGTTTTTATGATCATCTTTTCATGAACACTCTACAGGGGTAGTAAATTTTGAAAACTCCGTATAGAGGGCGTATACAATAATATTTTACTGTCAAATGAGCTTATTACAAAGGACGGGGTCTATAGGGTAAAGCATCTTGAATCAGTATTTTAACTATTGTCCATAACAATTCAGATCTTTTAAAATGTATTTATTCTTTACTTGTAATTTTAGCAATATTTAATTTTTTTTTATCGTTTCGGTTTTATCCGAGATCCAAGATCAAATTATGCATTAAACAATACCGTAATTCTTTATTTCGTCTTTATTTTCGGGTAACAAATGACGTCATAGTCTCTCAATTACAGTTTTAATCACAATAATAATTGTATATATTTTGTTTTTTTATGATAGATATTGTATCGTGTTCAAAACGTTCTGAAATAAATGTAGGCTTATATATCAATCTTGTTTCGTGTTGCAGATTTGTTTTAAAATGTTTTTATTTCGTGTAATACAAGCAGGCCGGGTGTATGACTTTTGTGGCGCACAAATTTATTATCCGTGGCGGATCTTGTGGTTGTTAATTTTATTGTTTCACCAGCCATTAAGAGCTAACTATTATCCGTCAAACATACAATGGCAATAACTACAGCAATAAATGTATACAATTAAGACTAAGAGGAATTTTTAGCTTAATTACCTAAGGACTACATAATAATGAAGAGTAAGTTCTGATGTCAAAAAATAGTAAAATAAGTTACGCAAAAATATAATCTTAAAAATGTAATCTTAAAAATTCTACAAATTATAAAATGTTGATGAATTACTTCGCGGTTTGCTATGTCAGAAATTTAGCTCTAGCTAGATTTTTGTGCCAAAATGGATTTTACTGGCTAACTTTATCATTTTTGGTGTGCTGAATTCAAAAAAGTTTGGTACCATTTTTTTTTATCCACGTCATCAACCTCCATTTTGGATGTCAAAATGGCCGACGCACCACATACAACATGTTCATGTTTGGTGTCAATAAAAAGGGAATTATGCACTGATCATTTAATTGCGTTACAATTATACCTAATAATGTATATTTACAGAGATAGGCCAATTAATAAAGTCACATGACAAAAGGTCAAAAAATCAAACTCGCCAAAAGTTGTGTTTGGTATCGTTGGAAAGCTCTTCCGATGCTGAATAATGTTTTACAATACACATAATATCAGAAACGGTGTAACTGTAGTTTACAAATGTAAGCACCTTCCCCTCGGCAGTCACTAAGACTTACTCTGAGTGAGGTGTAATGTCTGGATGGAATTTAATGTCATACCCAGGACAAATTAGTCTAAAGCTTATTAAGATTTAACTAAACAATTAGGCCTATAATGATTGGACAAATTACAAATATCTTTTTCGCCTTTACCAAAATGTTCTCTTTTTATTATTATTATTATTATTATTATTATTATTATTATTATTATTATTATTATTATTACTATTATTACTATTATTACTATTATTACTATTATTACTATTATTACTATTATTATTACTGTATTATTATTATTATTATTATTATTATTATTATTACCAACATCATCATCACCATCATCATCTTACCGTCATCATTATTATCTTCATCATCATCATCATTATGACTAATAGAAACACACTTCTGTATCTTAAAAGACCAGACCTGGGAGTCAGGGATTTTAAACAAATTTAAGCTTAATTTTTGTTAAGGTAAGTTTGATAATTGCACCTGAGCGGTAAAGCCGTTATAAACCCGAAATATATATATATTTTTTCATTATCAATTATAGTGTCTATTGTCTACTCGGGTGATAATTTGGGAAAATCCTCGAATAAGGAGAAAAAGAGATCACTGATGTAGTTGTAATTGTATAGAACCTTACACGATCGATTGATCGTCCCAAGGCGCTTAAAGTGAACTAAAAAGATGGATTTACAACCGACTCTTGAAAACACCCCCTGAGTCATGGGCGTCGATCCATCAATTAATTAATTAGTTAATAAGACCCGTAGTGTTCAATATTATCTGCATACATAGATTCCTGTTTTCCTAGTATGTATATGTATATATATATATATATCTG